AGATGTTGAACGATTCATTGCTTACATTAATGTTTCAAGTGATGATGTTACATTGTATGTTGTTGAACCTAGAAGTAGTATTGTTGGGTCAGTACGGGTAGTAATAAACTAAGTGGGTCTCAAAACCCACAACCTTTCTCTAATCCAATCCAAATCAACTTTCAGCACCAAATTCCGGTTTTCGTATTGACCAATTAGACGATGATGAGCCAAGAGAAAAAATTGTGAGTACTAGTCAGTATTCGAAATTTGATCTTGGTCAATACCCGGACTTTGATATTGGTCAATACACGGATTTTGATGATGTTTCAGAAGAGAAACAGACCCTGCGTGTAATGATTTTGATATTGGTCAATACCCGAATTTTGATGAAGAAACACCCGTTGCCGAGGAAGATGTTGTTGATGATAATAAGGAGGAAGTTACGACTGTGAATGAACATGTTGAACATCCATTCTGTAATTCATATAATCCTGAAGAAGAAAAAGAAGAAGAAAAAGTCCCCGAAGAAAGAAAATGCCACGGGAGTATAACTGGAATATGCCAGAATTACTTCAGCTACCGGAAGAAGAGTTGGCAAAGAAAGCTGTTGATTTACACAAAGTTATTCGTCAAGAAAGATGATTATTTGATACAAAGGAAGACTTGAAGATAGCTTTGTATACGAAATGTGTGGAAGATGGCTATCAACTAAAAGTTAACAAATCAAGCAAAGATCGTTTCGAAACAAGGTGTACGATTGACAAAAACTGTACGTGGCGTATGATTGCAAAGAGGAAAAGATTGCGCAATGTTTCAAGTTAGGACTTTTTTGATAAACATACATGTTCAAGAACCCAAGTTTTTCCTCACCATAGACAGGCAAACAAAAAGGTGTTGGTGGTTTTCTGGCTGAGTTAATGTTTTTGAATGGCAGGGTATATCGGGGACATGAAATTATGACTGACATGAATGCTCGGTTCAAGATTAGTATCATATTCTCAAGCTTGGGAGCCAAATGTTATGCCTTGGAATTGTTGAGGGGGTCGCCAGAAGCATCGTTTGCCCAACTGCCGGCTATTGTCACAATTTAAAGCTGAAAAATCCTGGGTCGGTAACTCATATCAAAACAGATAGAGATGGACGCTTTGAGTTGCTGTTTATCGCCATTGGTGCTGCGGTTAGTAAATCAATATAATTCTGTTGACTCATTCTGTTAGTTACATGCATTTCACATTTAAATGATTATATTTCTTGTGTATATTATTGTAGATTCGTTCGTTATTACTTGCATGCGCCCAGTATTATAGTTGACGGAGCACATTTGAAAGGTTGATACCTTGGAGTAAACTTATTAGCAGTAGCCATGGATGCTAACAATGGGATATTGCCAATAGCTTACGGGTTGGCAAATCTGAAACCTCTGATTCATGGACATGGTTTATGGGGCATCTTAGGGATTCCATAGGTCCTATTAGCAATCTGACAATCATATCCGATAGGGCAAACTCAATTGACAACGCTGTTAGAAGGTGTTTCCCAGATGCTTTCATGGACTTTGTGGGTGTTCATTTGTATAGAAATCTAAAATCAAGGTCTGCTGGTATAAAAAAGCACAAATGGACATACTGGAAGGCTGAAAGGCTTATCGGGAAGTGGATTTCAATAAGCATATAAACTGTTTAAGACGTGTTTTGCCTCAGTGTGCTCAAACACTAGAAGATGTCGGGTTTGAAAGATGGTCAAGAGTACATCAACTTGGAGCAAGATATGGTTTCATGACGTCTAATAGTGCAGAATCAATTAACGCTCTAAGTCGTCATTCCCGGAAATTACCCATTACTATGTTAATGGAGTTTTTTCGAGCCTTATTCAACAGTGGTACTACAAGAAAAGAAACCATGCAGGTATTATTTCTTGAATTCGTAACTTATCATATATTTTACTAAGTATATTTATTTAAATTTACAGGAACATTGGAACATCGTGTTACACCATGGACTGAAAAAAAGATAACGAAACGTGTTGTGAAGTCAACGTCATGGAGAGTTGAACCATGTTCAAAACTTTGTTTGAAGTACTGGATAATAACTTAAATGGGCTTGTCGATCTAAATGCAAGGACGTGTAGTTGTATGAAATGGCAAACATCTGGTTATCCGTGTGGCCATGTTATAAAAGTTGCTCTTTATCTAAACCAAGATGATTCAAGCACATACGCTATGGATTGCTACACTACAGAAGTATATCGACAGACTTATGCCGAGATTGTCTACCCTATTTCACATCCTTCTGAGTGGGACATACCAGATGACTTACAAACAGTTTTGCCACCAGCCATGGAAGAAGGCTACCTGGCCGACCAAAAAGTCACGATCGTATACCGTCTAAGGGTGAAGAGAAGAAGAGATCGACATGTAGTCGGTGCAAGGAAAGTGGTCATACAAGGTTGACATGTGGATCACCAGTGCCATCACAATCATCTTTTCCTCTACCAAAATATGGATCATCATCAAAATCCAAAGCTCATATGGTGTCAAGAAAAAGGCAATCAAAATCGCAATCATCTTTAAAATCCCAATCACAACTGGCTTCACCTTTTGGGACTGTTAACTTAGGTGATTTTTAAATGCAAACGTTGTATTATGTAGATTTTATGTGTGAACTTTTAACATTTTCAGTTAGACATGTATTAGTAACTTGAGTTTGAAAATTGCTATGATTTGTTCAGTTGTTATCATTTAATAGGCAATCATCTTAATGTCTATCGCAACGCAGAAGAAATTACTATCGCAATGCGAAATGAAAATCGCAACGAGAATCGCAATGCGAATGAAAATCGCAACGCTAATTTCGCAATACGAAATGAAAATCGCAACGAGGGAATCGCAATGCGAAATGAAAATCGCAACGCGAATTTAATTTCGCGTTGCGTTTCTCTCGTTGCGATTTTCATTTCGCGTTGCGATTTTCATTTCGCATTGCGATATATTTTGCCTTCAACATAATGCAGATTTAAATCAACAAAATCAACCATTACATTTCAATCAATTAAAACAAGCACAAATAAGAATTATGTTAACATCAATTAAACAAATCAACTTTTACAAATCACCTTTTACAAATCAATTAAACAATCAAAAATAAGCAATAATTATTAGAGAAAATAACACTTCTACTATTGAATCAACTTTTGCAGCCATACATCATTTTCACGCAGCTCACTTCTGAGATTAACCTGCATAAACCAAACATTTGCTCAAACAACTTTATACATCTAAAACCTACAAACAGCAATTATTGAATTCTAGGTACTTACCAAACATTTTCAAACCACAAGCCTATAAACATACCAATTGTTTATGGACATTTTATAACGATGCAGGTAGGCAGCGTCTCGTATATCGATCTAGCCATATAATGTTGAAACCAACGCCTACTGCAGCTCTATCTATATCGGTGGGAGGTAGATACTTATACTTCCTGTGATCAAACGGTCCAACGCCAAGCATACGAGAGGACCACAATCCCCTCTGGGTCCTTTCGTTTGTTGTGGTGCGGTCGTCTCTGCTAACTGTAATATGAGCTTCTTTGGCTTCTTGTTTCCAGAACGAGTCCATACTTTATCGCATCCAAGAATTTAGCCAAATAAGAGCTCCATCCCTTAATAATATCTCTTAAATCAGCCAATGATATGTAATTTATCATGCTGTCATATACTATTGCCTTAAGGGATGGGATCTGAAGCTCGACGAGAAGCCAATGGTTACGTTCCAAAACAGGGATAACACCTGCAATCATAAGTAATAATTCATTCATTTGGGCACTTATTTATGAATACCTTTAAACTCAATCTAAAATAAAACACTAACCTTATCGACCTCCCACCATGCAGGATAAAGTTTAGCTTGTCCATTGCCCAACGCAAATGATTCATCTCGTTGATTCTTCAAGTGAACGGCGTTAAAAGACGTCAGCATAATTGTATATCGTGTATTTCTTTATTTTCCTTAAGTTTCCTAATTATTAGAAGACGTGACCACCCACGCATCGATATGCTGTTTTACAAAAAAGACATATATTAGTAACTTACATAAATTTACAAAAAAAATAATCAAATAAAATATAAGAAAAATATAAGACTTACCCCTCCATCGAAATAGCCATTGTCTTCGACCCCTAATAATACGCCCCACCAAGACCGATCAAGCAAACAAATAGATATCATCATTGAGCTTGCATATGTCAGTGAAACACCCCTGGCTTCGCTCATGTAGATAAAATCAACTGCGGTCTTAGCCCAAAGGGTGTTATCCAGAATTGTGTCCGGTAGTTATTTCCTCTCCTCTTCAGATACCGGTATGGTACTGGCCGGTAACTCATACGAGAGCCAACTTGAATCCATCATGTCCGGCACGTCAGAGGGTTTCAGAATCCTACATATGACGCCATGTGAATCGGGCTCTTGAATGGTGGGAGGGACCTCTTCAACGATGACAGTGGCCTCTTGAACGGTGGGAGGGGACTCTCGAGGAATGATAGGGGCCTCTTCAACGATAGGAGTGGCTCTTGAGGGATGACAGGCGAGTCGGGCTTCTTCTTGCGGTGTCTTCGCACTATTGGGGTATACAGAGACTTAATAGCACGTGCACGCGGGTTCCCAAACGCACGGTCACCGTCACCGGCCTTGGCCCTTTCGAGGCTCGTATGGTCGAAGAACAAAAAAGCCCAATTGAACTCTGGGAAATACCCTCTCTATTTCTTTCGTTTTCATATCTCTTTCGATTTTTGTCCTTAACCTTCTCAGAACCTTTCGAGGCTCGTATGGTCGAAGAACAAAAAAGCCCAATTGACTCTGGGAAATACCCTCTCTATTTCTTTCGTTTTCATATCTCTTTCGATTTATTTCCTTAAACCTTCTCAGAAATTAACTCCGAAGAAACCAGCAGGTCCCACAGCTTCGTTCAGTACCCATTTCTCCAAACTACAGCCACAATACCTTGAGAAAAACAGTCACCACACTATCTGCCTTCTCCTTCATACCTCCCTTATCTTTTAGTGTAATATATACCTTCCATATCGTTGCACTAGCATTTCAGCAGAAAGTAGAAACCGGAGAGAAGTTTCGATCTTTGTGTGAGCCCCAGGTGTTCGATTATAAGTTTAATAGAACTTTGAATTTTGGGGTAATACCCAAGGTAGACATTGTAGACATCACGGCTATACGCGAAGTTATTCGGCCTAGCTTTCATGTCCGAGCTGTACGCCGTAAGGGTTGTGTGATCGAGAGAAACCCTTCGCCGCACGGTGGACGTGGAGCTTTGCCTTCTGAAGGCGGTATCCTTCCGACTCTCTTCCTTGCTGGTGGTGGTATTGTCTGTTAGACTTCAGTGCCTTATTTAACTAGGTTATAAGCCTGTAAAATAATAATATCCAAAGAAGCTTGTTTTTCGTTTTGGTCGTTGTATTTGGGTGTTCTTTGTTTGATTTTTATTGGATAAAAAAAGTGAAGTATTAGCAAAGATGATGCGCTCAGTACAGAGAGGGTTCCACTGTTGTTTCGAATTACCAAAAGGATGAGGCCGAAGAAACTGATCGCCGGAGCGGTGATGTGAAAGAATTGCTTAGAAGCTGTTGCATTCCAGGTATTTGTTAGATTTACTTTGTAAACATTCCTCGGATGGATAACTTTTTTATAGAAATGATTTGTAATTGGAAGCGGGTTTTGGTTTATAGGAGCAAAACTTCCTTTATATGCTTTCAAGAAGGTGGGCAATATTGAGAATGAAAAAGATGTGCCTGAAATTGAAAACAAAGAGCCTCCAATTGCTTTTCTTGATTCTCTCGTTCTTGGGGAGGTAAAATCTGCTATTAGTTTGGCGAATAAACTTTAAGTTCTTCGTTATGTTTAATGGTGGTTGTGTTAACAAATGTCAAGGTTGAAAAATGTTTTATGGTTTTATGGTAGTGGGAGGATCGCATGCAAAGAGGGCTCTTTCGATATGATGTCACTTCCTGTGAAACGAGGTGTTATCTGCCGCTGCTTTTCTATTCCATTGATTCACTTGCTTATCTGAGATTGTGAAACTGTAAACTTAATAGTTAATTGAGTTGTTGTACCATCTAAATGTTTGTGGATATCATTCTTTAGGTGATCTCTGGTGAATATGGCTTTATTGCCCAGCTGAACGAGGTCGGCACCTTAAGAGAGGCCAACTGAGTTCCGTGTTGATAAGGTTCTACAGCCCTTTGATGGGACAAGTTCAACTTCACCAAAGTTGGACAAGAAGAGTGCTTTTCCAGTTTGAATCAAGTGAAGATGATGAAGTTCAGTTCTTCCCAAAGCTCCCATTGATGTTGAGAATTCTCCAAGTTGTTTGCCATAAATGTATCTTAGTCTACTTATTCAAACTATGGTATTGCTAGGCTCATACTATTAAACATTGTTTGTATACAATTTGACAGGTTAGTCCTATTGAATACGGGCATGTGCTTTTGATCCCTCGAATTTTCGAATGCTTCCCCCAGAGGATTGACCACAAGAGCTTCTTGCTCGCACTCTATATGGCAACTGAATCTGGGAATCCGTTCTTCAGATTGGGTTACAACAGCTTGGTGCATTTGCTACAATCAATCACCTACACTTCCAGGTATCTAACCTCCCAATGGTACTCTTCATGTAATTTAACTTCAGATGTAGTTTGTGTACAAATCAGAAAGGAGATAGGTTTATCTATTGCAATCACTGCAGGCCTACTACTTGGCAGTTCCATTTCCCATCGAGAAAGCTCCTACTAAGAAATAACCACTTTGAAGGATGGTGTGATTATCTCGGAACTTTTAAAGTATCCAGTCAAAGGTCTTGTCTTTGAGCGTGGTGACACTCTCCGAGACTTGTCTGACACTGTGTCTGAGCTTGCATTTGCCTTCAAGATAACAACATACCATACAATGTCCTCATCTCTGATTGTGGGAAAGCGGATCTTTCTCCTTCCTCAGGTAACTAACTAGAAGTATGGTTGATACCTTTTTGTTCATCTCCATGATTACCTATAGTTTCTTGCAATTGAATTGCAATATGTAAATTGAACCAACAGTGTTATGCTGAGAAACAAGCACTTGGGGAGGTGAGTTCAGAGCTCTTGGACACCCAGGTGAACCCCGCGGTGTGGGAAATTAGTGGTCATATGGTGTTGAAAAGGAGGAAGGACTATGATGAGGCATCTGAGGAAAACGCTTGGAGGCTCCTTGCAGAGGTTTCCCTCTCTGATGAGAGGTTCCAAGAAGTGAATGCACTTATCTTCGAAGCCATTGCTGGTGGCGAAGATGGCATTGAAAATGTTGCAGTGATTGAGGAGCGTGATACCGAAGCTCAATCTCTTGAAAAAGAGAATGTAATCGCCGAAAGCTCCCACCATGCTATGGTTGCTGGGACACAAGAATGCCTTGTCCTGCAGTAAGGATCAGCATTCAGTCAACAGAACCCTGTTTAGAAATTCTATGAATTATGGCACTTGTAGCCTAAATAAGCAAAAACTAAGTCTGCATTGTTGTTATCGTCTTTGTTTAAACTGCTATATGCATATTAGCTTCATGGACTTTATTGAATTATGTAAAAATACAATGTACTGCTAGCTGTTATAAGATAATAAATGCACATTACTGTGTCCTAGCTTTTAATTCATTTTCTTCTAAATTAATATAAATATAAAATTGATAGAATTTTTAAATGTTAAAGATTTATTGAATTATTTTGTATTAGGATCAATTCGATAGAATGTACAAGGGATTAAAATTATTATTATACTATGATCATTATTTATGTTAAGTTAATAATCATATCTGACAGTGAGTATTAAAACAGAAATAAAATATAATATGAAGTACATTTTAATAAAAATACGTCCATGAAGACAACGATCTCTTATCTCTGCAAGTCTGCAATACGTCCCAGGAAATGTTAATCGTGTCTTCGATGGTTCATTTTATAATAAGAAAGTTTAATTCCATAAGAGGGATGTCGTGGGCAGTGCTCTTGTTGCCTCCACTTCATCTAGAGGTTCTTTAATAATTTTGTTTGATATTAAGGCTTTCTTATGTATGTTTAATTATTTATTGCGGCTGGCAAATTTGGACCGAGTTCCTAAAGTTTGTGGTTTTTTATTCATACTGTTGATTTTGTAAGTGCTAGTCTTCATGCTCTAGTATATATACAGATTTACCTGAAGATCTCTCAGCTCGTCACTTTTTCTTGATTAGGATTCAAGCAACAAGAATCTTGTCAATTGTGATGGAAAACTGAGTATTTTATTGGGCAAGTCTCGAGTTGAGCTGGTTGAGCTACCTGCATTTTCCGTAAGTGCCAAAATAAGTCAAATGATCAAGTATGCTGGGAATCTCTTGGAAAACATTCCTTAATCAAGCTGTTTTCTCTTCTTACAGCAGTACCATATATTAGATGTTGAAACATTGAATGATGCTTTCATGCAAATAGTCTTTCTTGATTTGAAGTTTAAACGTGTTCTTATGTTTCTTCATGTAACATGCATTTTTCCAGTTGGCACGTTGTCTGCTATATTTTCCCACATGGAATAAGGAACGATAAGTTAAAATCCATTGAAATAATACCATTCCTAGTTAATACTCCTCCTGCAACAATGAAGTAGTGCTTCTTTCGTTTTGTTTTAGTAATTATCGGAACTCGGCTAGGGTAGTCTTGACCATACAATCTGCTAAAATGGCGTGTCTTCTCTGTTGGGTGAAAGGCATCCCAGAATACATACTTGTTGGCATCTGAACATGTGAATGGGTTCATATGACCACACAGGTAACTTATCTCGAAGAATCCAGTCCCGCAGCATGCTGCTTCTGCTTCTTCGAATCCTGTGTTTGTTATCAGATTGTTAATTTACAGTAACAGTAGTTAACTATGTAAATTATCGCTAACATCTTACCAAAATGACTTGGATTATGAATCATCTCCATGAGTTTATCATAGGGGTTTGACATGACCAGATGGATCCCGTGAAGCTCCTGTTTCAGCTCTGTGACTGCACCCTCCAACTTCTTGTTGAAATCTTTAGCCACGTTGTTGTACTCATCGATGCACTCTCTTCCGGATAACATATTCCTCGTTCTTTCCAACGGTAAACATCCCATTGGAGGAAGGCCGCCGATGGATACCTTCCGAGCTCCGAGCCTCTAAAGCTCTCTGATGAAATCACTGGCAATTCCTATCAGAAAGGTCTGGTACTTGTCAACTGAATACTCAAAAATCTGATCGGAGAAATGTAATAGTTGTCTAGAAAGTCATTGGTTCCTATGCTTATCAGGTGCAATGATTCAGCCAAACGATGACGAGCTTCGTCTTTGCCTAGATATCCTCTTAGCTTGTCCTGATATTCTTTGTAGTGCTCCAGTTCCATCCAAAATGGTAAGACGAACTGCAAATTCGAGAAAAGTCGAAAAACTAGGTAAGTAGTAGTGACTTATTGTTGAAATTTTGTTTCACATAACACCCTCGACTTACCATCACATCAGAAGTAACATTGTCGTAACCTCTCCCGGCTGAAGCAAAGGAAACTCCGGTAGTGAAATCTTTTATGCCGAATTTCGGTTCCCGATATGCACGTATGGCTGGCTTTATCCCGAAGGCTTCGGAAATGAAGTTTGTTGCAATCCTTCCATTAGAAAAGCACCCCGTCGGCTGACCACCATGGTAGTCCCTGCCGTATGGCTCGAAATTGCTCTTTAGAACTGTAGTTTCCTCCTCGTTGTTCCCTGGATCCACCGTAGAATCACCGAAAACTATAATTACCGGAACCGTAGCCCTTGTTTCCAATACTTGCAGTAGGAGATTAGCATAGAAAAACAGTACAACGACCTTAGATGCCATATTTAACTTACATTCCAACATTGTGTTCTGTAAAGCTGGTGTGAATGATTCTTGAGAGAGTCCATAATAGCAGGAACTTAATAGACACGGAGACCGAACTAGAGGCTTAACTCGATCCAGTTCAGTCACTTTTAAACTGTGGTACTCGATAGATCGATATCTTTCGCTTTTTAAGCCGAGACCAATAAACTTACACTTTCATAACTCAAAGTGAGTTGTATTGTGGAGGCATAGTTTTCATTTGTAGTAGGTAAATTGATAACTAGTGAAAGTCCAT